TGAACGAGCAGAGCTGTCCCACCGAGCAGACCCGCCTCTCCAGCCAGGTGACTGTGGAGGAGGAAGACCCCCCTCCTTACCAAGACGCCCTCTACTTCCCCATCCTCATCGTGCACCGCAACGAAGGCTGCCTGAACCATGACCACCGTCACCTCCACCGCAATGGGTCCTGTGTGGAGACCTCACTGTGAAAGCAGAGGACGGTGAGATCTCGTCCATCACCTGGCCCGAGCCACCACAGGATTTAGGGAGAGGAGCACAGGGGAGGGATATGGCCTAGGAGGACATCAGGATGGAGCGGACATGGCATCTCGCTCCAGCAGCCAGCAAAAGCTCCCCCTGCCATTGCTCTGACCTCCCGAAGGGGTGAGTGCTGATGCTCGCCCTGACATGGCACAGAACTCTAGTCCAACCACCACATGCAAAAAAAAAAAAAATAAAAAGAAAAAAATCCAACCAAACCAACCCCAAAACCGTAATTCATGGCATCGAGATCTAAAGGGGGGAATAAAAAGACAGGCCTGATGCAGGGAGGGGGGTGCTTTGGATGCCAGCCCTGGCTCCAGGCTGGCTCATGCTCCAAGGAACCAGCAGCTGCCAGAAAGCGCCCTGCTGCACCAGTGCCACCCTGCTGCCCACACAGGAGTGAGATCCCTGGGTGGAGGGGAACAGGCCCTTTGGGAGCGGCATGTAACTGCCTGTGCCTAAAGGTATAGGGCATCCCGGCACATGAAGCTGAGCAGCAGGTCAGAGCAAAGGCTGAAAGCCACGAATCCAGCTCTTCCCCTTCCCCCCGACCGTTCCCACCCTCCCCACTTCTTTTTTTTAGACCATGCTCCAACTGTTACTCTGTTCTCACTGCTGGGAATGGCACCGCCTCCAGAGGATCCCAGTCTCGGCTCCTTAGGAAGCTTCGGCACGCCAGCTCTGAGGGTCCACATCCCCTAGGTAAAGGGCTTTCGGTTTGGGATGACAAGAGGCAGGCAGGCAGTGCTGGGGAAGGGATGAATGTGCAAACCCAGATGGAGCAGAGATCTGCAGTGCTACTGATCCACTCGCTGGAGGAGGGCTCAGCTGGCAAGAGAAAATGGGAGGCCCCTGGAGAGCTTGGGAAGGGGGAGAGGATGGCACTGGGACAGTCATCGTGGTATTAGGTGACTGGGGTCCCTTCCTGGCTTTGAAGTGAGCACTAATTGGTTCAGACAAGCATTGAGGAAGGCTCTGGTAGGTTCAGCTGCAAATCACCTATTGGTAACAGAACAGCAGGTTGGTGCATGTCTGCAGGAGTGAATTTAGCATAAGATCAGGCTGGGCTCTGACTGCAGACAGAGCTGCAGATGGAGCAGCAGTTTTGGCAGAGAGCTCTGAAGGGCTGGGAGGGAGAAATGCAAAAGGGTGCTGGAGCATCAGGAGCCTGGGGTGGGGGAATGAGGAGCAAAGGGATTCCACTTCTGTGGGTCTGGGGATGCGTTTGAGGGGAACCTGCTTAAAACCAAGAGGTTTGCACTATGGAGGTTTTTGCAGAGAGGTGTCAGGCTGTGAGAAGTGAGATGGCTCCTGTGTAGCCCATTAGCCCCTGGTTTCCTCTGCTTTGCTTCTGTCAGGACAGGTTGGCCTGCTCTGAGCTCTGTGCTGCCTCTTCTGTCCTGCTGGAAAGGTTCTTGGTGATGTTGGGCAAGGAGCCTTCATGTCACTGAAGCTGCATCAGTGACTACAGCATGCAGGCACCTAGCTTTTCCTTCTCTGTCAACACGTCCCCAGATCTCCTGTGCCCCTGTTCTTAGAAAAGCTGTCTCCTTTTCACTCAGCTCTCTGGGGGAGTGCATGCTGGATCAGCCAGACATTTCTCCAGACAGCTCTGCTCCTCAGCCTCACCACGCTTCCCTCATCCACTGGGGCAAACAGCGGCTCAGAACAGCAGGTCTTGGGTGGGAAGAGCAAGTCCATTAGCACCTGGGCATCCAAGCCTGGAGACTGCCTCTGCATCCATCACAGAAAGGCGAGGTATAACAGCACACATTAAGGCATTTTATTTAGTTCAGCTGGTCTGTTTCTTGTCATACTGGTGTACTGCTTCCTCCCAGGTTTTGGGAAGGCTGCAGATGCACCCTTCCACCACATCAGTCCTCTTGAAAGTCATCTCTTGCTGGCCCAACTGATGCAGTCAGCACATGGGGAGATTGTAAGTCTCTGCTTGACTTTGCCCCCAGAGTGGTCAGTTCTTCAGCTCTTTGTGCCTTGCGTGTCCTTGGCAGTGTCTCTTGGCCTCCTCCTCCTGGATCTGAAGTGCTAGACTCCAAACAACAGCAGTTTTGAACAGAAAGAACCTTAAAATCCCACTCTGTTATGATTCTGTCTTGTAGTCTGCCCTTACTATCACTACCAGACCTAGATGCTGGCTTAAGTAAAAGGTTCGCTTTGAGAACAGGGAAGCATAAGGTCTCCGGTGCGTGCACACCTTTCTCCATGTTTTGTTACCGTTATTAGCACAGATTCAGACTGGGTGGAAGTGGCTACAGCCACCTTGGCTGCCCTGGGATTTTCTTGCTCGGTGATGACATTTGGCTTGCTGTGTGCTTGTGCTTCTCTCTCCAAGGGCCTGGTTTAAGCCAAGGCCAATGCTGAGGGTCCTTGTGACCCTGGGGGGATAATGGTGTGTGCTTGTATGTCCTGGTGAATCAGGAGGTGTTCAGTCAGTGGAGCTGCAATGGGTCATTAGTGAGAAACGTGGTCCACTTGTCCTTCCCAACATGTTCTCTTTGAAATCTCCTACACATTGCTTAAATTAGGCTGTGATGGCTCGTTTTCCTATCTCCAGCCTCCAAGGTGCCTTGGACAGATGGATTTATCAAAGGTTTGGCAGGCGTTTTGGCTCCCTGGGGCAAAGACAGTCCTCAGAATGGGAACTGATTAGTAGGGTCTCTGTGCCCCTGTCCTGTAGCACCTGCAGCAGGGTTCTGCTTCCAGCCACCTTGTCCTTGGCTCTTTCTAGACCTCTTCAGGAAATTGCCTCAATTCATTCCTCTGGCCCCATTTTCATCTATGAAATCTTATTCTGGAGATGGTCTATCCAGGTGGGTACATGTGTCTTTGAGGTATAGCTGTTGCTCTGGCCTGCAGGATCCATGCAGAGTCTTTCTGCTGCTGAACACCTTCCCCATGCACATGGTGCCAGCCACAGCCAGGTCTCAGACAGTCCCAGTGCCACAGTCTATGGCCGTGCCACAGTCTATGGCCATGCCAGACCCACAGCACCCCGAGGAGAAGTGAGGCCACTCTCACCAGTGCTCTCTGCTGTGTGCCAGGATTTCTCGGAGATCCCTTCCTCATATTCTTGGTCCTCCTACCCCACTGCACCTGATGGAGCTGCCCCCCACCCCCCTGGTCCAGCCTTCTCCATTCTTGCCAGGCTGGAGACCTTCCTGCCCCATCTTAGGCTCAGGGTGGGGATGTGCCTGGGCATGGGAGGGGAGCAGGACTGGGCAGAAGGGATGGGGACTTCCTGGTGGCTTGGCAGAGAAGTGGTGGAGCTGAAGAGGACAAACGGAAACTGGGGTTGTCCTCCCCCTGCAATGGCAGTTTAGCATGTCTAACCAGGCAGGGAGGTTCATGACAGACAACTGGGCTCTCCCTTCCTACCCCCAGCATGGGTCACAGACAGCAGAAGGGGTATGCGCATATAGATTTCCTCTGAAGTGCTGGCAAAGAACTGTAGTGCCCTGGGCAAAGGGCAGCTGTTTCAATTCTCCTTGCAGCTCAGGTTATCAGTGCAGATATCCAAAAACGGCTTGTCCCTGTTCTGGGTCCCATCTCCCGTGGCACAGCCATCCACCCACCAAAAGCTCCAGGCTGAGCAGCAGCCAGGCGCTTGCTCTTCCTGCAGCCTTGTGTCTGCTCTCTGCCACATCTGCACCAGTGACAACGATTCCTTTGGCAGCTCAGTCGATGGCCCAGTCTGCTCCTCTCATGATAGCCTGCTCCCTCCTATCTAACCTGAATTCTCCGTGCTGTATCCTAGTCCTGTTATTTCTCCTCCATTGACTGGTGAGTTTAATTGGCTCTGCGCCTTTTCCCTATGGCCTTCCCGACACTAGCAGGCGTTATCTGGTCTCTGCAGCCTTCCCTTCACCGATCCAAGTGTCTTCTCTCCCCCAGGATCTTACTGGGCAAACCCTGTGATGGTGCAGAAGTTTTCCCTGTGTAGCGTGTCTATCCTTCCTGCTGTGAGCCTGGTCTGGGCGGGAGGAGAGGGCCAAAGGTGCGAGCAAGGCCTTGCTCTGTCAGGCTGACTGCATCCTCATTTCTGGTGAAGGAGGACTCTTCAAAGTACACAGAGCTGCTGGCCCCTTATGCAAGGAAAGCAGGACAGCCTGCATCACCCTTTAGGAAGGCGAAAGCTTGTCAGTATGAGGGGGCCATAACAAGAGAATCTCTGCAATCCTATGGCTTTGGTATTTTCCATACATCATTGACCCATTGCAGCTTTCCATGGGCCGAGTCAGGCTTGGCGTTGCACTTGTCAGCAGGCTTTCCTCTCATACCAGGATGAGTGAAGCGGGAACGCTGCCAGCTCCTCTTCCTGGCACTTCATGGCGTTAATACAGCCCTCGAAGAGAGCCTGTCCTCACTGCTCCAAGGCTGGACAGTGAGTTTGGGCTATTTGATGTTTCCCGTTGCTGCCAGTATAGTTGCCAGATGCTCTCCAGCTTTCCTGAACTAGAGAAGAGAATGAGCATTTGAAAAGCTCTGAATTAGCTGATCTTCAAGACACATCACCACCCATTTATTCATCTTTTGGCGCACACTGGAAGCTTCCCAGATAGTGCCTAGCAATTTGTCCATGCAGAACTAGGCAGTGACACCAACCAGCCTGGTGGCACTTCTTGAGCCCACTGCATGTCATGGAGACCACACCAAGGAGGGAGATTTCAAAAAGGGCTTGTGGGCTGAGCAACTGTAGGGGTGTTTGTTAGGACAAGGAGAGTGGATCTCGTCTTATGGCCAATACCAAGCCTTCTGGAGTCACACAGCAGGCAAACACTCAGGATTAGTGCTCGGGAAGCTGCTGTTTTTCTGATTGCAAACAAACACACCTTTCCCCCTTTTTACTTCCTAGAAGTGGGAGCTTAAGAAAGTTAGGTAGCATCTGATGCCAATAAATCATTGCCTGCTGATTAGCCTGTGGGAAAAATAATATCTTTAAGCTCTCCCTCCAGCCTTTCCAACCGTGACTTCAGTACTGCTGTCTAATGTCACCAGGGTGCTACCTTACTTTTCGCAGGGTGAGACCTTGCTGCAATGTGCTCCTGCTCTGCTGCAGTAGCTGTAGGGCATGGGTCTGAAATACTGCATCACCACCAAGAAGTTTTGTTACCAAAGAGCTCTAAGTCTCCATTTGTGATTATGTGCTTCTAATCATGGTT